AATTCGTAATAAAAAATGGAATCAGATACAGGGTGTACTTTTTTTTCGGGCTATTTAAAAAAATAAAGTTGATGATGGTTTTTTGAAAACGAAACGTCGGATATAAAAACTAAAAATACCATCGTGTAGTACCTTGAAAGTGCCAATGAAAAAGTGTTATTCGTTTTTTGATATCTTTTCAAATAAATTCAGAAAAAAATAAAATTGATATTGTCAAATTCTGGTTTTTCCCAAATATCTCAGCAGGCCATGAAAATTCTTCAAGTTTCTAAACGGCACGTAAATAAGCTTTAAAGAACACAACTTTTTCCTAATTTAACCTAAGCTGTATCTCCATCAGGTACTGAGATTCCCATGCTTAGGATCCTTATCTTGGACACACTGTATAGTGGGGAGAGAATACTCCATGTAACTATTCATTTTTATGTGGCAATTCAGTTACTTTGCGTTCTATTTTTTTGATTGAACACGACGTTAATTGATGAGGATCTATATTAACACTGATCGATTCAATTTACTGCAAGACTTTCTTTATAAGGGTTTTATAAAAACCGTAACACGAATGATAAATTATGACATACTCCATAATTTTATTAACAATAGTCAGATAATTGATTAATTTAATCACCTAAAACTAGTTGAATGAAATTAATGATAATACTTAGTAATTTATTTTAGGTATGAATTCCTGGTAAGATAATGCGAATCAATTCAATCAATGTGATCACTGAATATTGATTATTTTTTTAATTCAATAATGTTCATACTTTCCGGATGGTTGTAATGCTTGAACTGAACCTTCTAGAGAGTATAAAAATTAATACATTCAAGAATTCCCAATAATACTTATACTTCCAAGTGAGTTTATCTACATTTTCCTTAGAACTCAACAATATTGACATAAATTGATATTAATAGTAATTCCATTTGAAAATTCGAATTTCATTCAGTATTGTAAATTTTTTCTGGATTTCTTAAAATTGAAACGATATAATATCTGTCAATTATTAATTTCCAGTTAACTGGTTTTTCAATTTCATTTGAGTTCTAGAATTATTCTCGATATAATATCTGTCAATTACTAATTTCCAGTTAACTGGTTTTTCAATGTCATTTGAGTTCTAGGATTATTCTGATTGTGAATTCGAAATACTGCATGTTCAAAGTTGTTTTGAATCATTTGAATGTCTTACTGTACTCAAAGTGTACAAGTATCGAAATGTTTTGATTTCATCATTTAGGCTCTAACTATTTTACGAAACTATTTTATATGAGGAAACTCAACATAAATCATCCTGCATTGTAATACATATAATCTTGACAGACAAACTGTATTTATAAAAAAACTACACAAGAAACACGAAATAAATGAATAACTTTTTCAAAACTTTTGTTTTTTTCTGAATTGTGATGAAAAGTTACAAATTGTACTGTGATGTTTGAACCTTCGACAACACAACTAACAAACTGTTAAACATCCGGTAAGATAGGATTCTCAGAATCGAAGATACCCTTTCTTGAGCCTAACTAGAGTTTTGTGAGATTAGAATCCAAAAAAGTATACAGAATTGAATTATTTTTCGAACGAACAATTTCACAAATATTTCATAAAAAATATTTCCGAAAACCTTACACAGATACTCATCAACAAACACCTTAAGGTGTTTTAAAATAAATATAGAAAAGGAAAAGGTTCTGGCAGTCCGATAATTCACAAATGATTGCAATGATTGACGAAAATATAATGTGGGACAAACTGGTTGGCATTTGAAAACACGGATGTCAAATCATACTATGAATACAAAAAGCTCCTCTTTGAAATATCAGGCATATATTTCGAAGATTTTTCTCAGTACAATGATTTACAGTTCCCTACTTGGCAAATTTCACAGGGAGAAATATGAATGGTTTGAATACAGCATATTGTAATGGATGAAAATAGTTCAAAATACTATTTATTGCAGTGTCGTAACCTTCACTACTTCCGCCACCAAATAATGATATTATAGTTTATTTTTTCGAAGATACAGTTGACCCAAACTTCAAGCATTTTTCCCATTTGAAATTGTTGGATTACTAAATAATTTGAATAAATAATTCATATAAAGAAGTCACACTTTACACTTACTGCTAATAATGAAATATTCATTGAAAATATCTCAAACATGACTCATCCATGATTTATTTTTACCATTAAAAATTATCGAAGAATGAAAATTCTTTAGTGAATGCAAGGCAAGGTCTGGGTGCAGTTTATATAACATGTGAGGATTTTTTTGCAAAATTTATTTGCAAGTTACTCAAGTAATACATATCTGTTACTATTAAAGTGTTTTCCGGGAAATGATTAACTACTTTTGGAAACTGTATCAGATCAGAAAATATGTCTTAAATGATTTAGAAATGAGTTGTTCAGTGGCATAATAAATTGTGAATAAAGTAGTTGCAACTTAATTTTTCTGTATATTTCCCAATATGTAAAAAATAATTATATACGCCAATAAAAAGATATTGGTTAGCATACGATTTGGAATGAAGTATACACTTCATATCGAAGCACTATTAATGAATTAAAAATAACTTACTTTCATCAATTGATATTTTTTAAATAAAAATAGTTAATTCATCTATAATCTTGCATGGGGTCGTACTTTAAGGGGAAAACTCTTTTGCTTTAGCTCTTTGCTCAGCTCTTCGACGATTTTGGACCCATTCATAAAGCTTTTATTCGACATAGTTGCTATTGGATGTTCAAATGACATTCACGGAGCATTCTTATAATAGCCCTGTTTTCAGAAGCCATTTTTCATTGAAGTCACAAACTGAAAAGAGGTTTTCTTAAAATCATTTTCCTTAGTATAAAGAAAAATATTTTGGACGTATGAATATCAAGTACAATACGTCACTTCTGAACGGAATATTATATTCAGATTTTGATGAGATTATAGAAAGAAGTGTTCAAAAAGTTGAAATTGATATGAAAATATTTCTTCTTCAGTTTTTTCATATATTGATCACCTAAATAGTGCTTTCGCTTTTCTGGGAAATATAGAGAAATTTCTGAGAAATTTGCAATATTAGCAGAGCTGCAGAATTGCGATTGCGTAATTAACTATGACTATACTGTACTGAAAACGGTATAATTCAGTGAGTGCAAAAAACTCTTGAAGTTTGATTAAAGACTTGCGTTCTACCTTTATTTCAGGGATATTTTTCTAATAATTGCCATACATTTTCCATTAAATGATCAGCATCGTGTTAAAAAATAATGACACTAATCTGCATGTAAACTAGTTCGACGTCAAAGTTCTTGGTGATCAGCTAATCGTTTCAAGTCCAGGTATCTGAATCTGCGGTTCACCATAAAACATTATGATAACGAAGATATACGGTTTGAAAAGTAATAAACGATGATGGTCAGTGACGAAGCAACATTTTATTCTAAACAATGATCAAACGTTTACTTCTAGTTCAAGATATTAATGGAAATTCCCAACTTTGAGAAATATCCAAACTTAAAATGGATTGAGGAGAATAATTCTACGCATGTGTATGTCAACAATAGAACAGGAACAATAATATGAATAAATATCATGTTATTTATGTTTTTTGATAAAAATTTCCTGATTCATGAAGAATAGAAAAAATATTGTCATTTCCATGCTAATAATGGAATTGAACTTTCAATAAAAGAAGTGGATTCATTGAACATTACTATTTTATTATTTCAATCCCGATATGGAATAATCTCAACATAACCTCGAAATTGAGGGATTGAATTTAATTCAATGAATTGGATGAATTCCATCAGACTCTAAACTATTTTGGGTAATTCATAATACGACATTTTCTTCCATATTGGGAGAATGATAATTTTGATCGCTCTATATCCTGCAAGGTGAGCAGTTATTCATCATCTATTTTCACAGTTTTATGCTGCAATAAAATGAAAACAAACTTCAAGAGTCGAATTACTTTTTTGGTTGCACACAATAATAATTAGTATGACTGACAGAGGTTTATCGAACACACGTATAACAATCAAAAGACACGACCACAAAACGATTGAATATAATATTTGATTATACCTCTGCCATTCAAGATCCAAAGCATCAGACATAAGCCCTAGGAAAAGCCCCCCTGCGTGTCCAATTCCACGTGGGCCGTAGCGTTGAGCATAGCAAGCTATATACACAAAATATGTTGAGTTAACAAGCACATCTTGGGAACAAGGGTAGCGAAATCAATCATTTCATCTTTAGAGCAGAACTTTTGAATGGTGAATGTATTGCAGAATAGTATAGTTCCCAGGAAAACACAGACTCAAACATATTTTTCTAAGTTATTATAGCCTTTAAGCTGATGATGAATTGGAACAATGTTATTTTGGAAGTTCAAATAAAAAACAATATACAAAATGCATTCATTGCAAAATAAAGATAGGTCAATTTACGCGTTATCCGTTAACTGTATTTCCGATTCGAATACTTCCAATATACTGACAACAATAGCATTACGGCTCTGTAGTTTAAATGGTGACAACTCACTATCTTTGTGGATCAATTTTTGTATAATAACAGGTAAGTAATAGTAAGTAAGTCAGATTCCCTGACTCCCAATTTCGCTTTTACTAACATTTACATACTAAGTTTTTCATGGTTGTGTATTTCAAGTTTTCCAAATGTGATCAAAATTCGTAAATTTTATGATTATGTTTTTCAACGTTAGTTATAACTTCTCAACCTTGTTTGAATATGAAAGAACTGATTTCTTAGTTGTTACACTTGTGAAAAATGATCTATGTTTCAATAGACTTTCGATTTGAAATCGTTGGAAAAGCTATTTGAATCTGTAATACGTGGAATTTGGACCAATTTACAATTTTCCTGTGGCAATGTCACAAAACTAGATAAGTGCGTCTGATAAGAAATAACTTGTTTGTCTAGTCATTCACCATTCATTCGTTCCTGAACTATAGAACGATTGAACTTTCCTACAGTTGAGCGACTCAGCAAAAAACTTCTAATTTACCTCACAGCGAAACAATCGCTCTGGAGAGTACCACCACCTTGGCCATATCCATATCCTCTGGGCCCAAATCGCTTTCCATAACAAACTGTGACACAACACAACAATTATATAACGTGATACGTAGGAATCTATCATAACCTTCATTGGCCCAACTCTTTTGCTATTCTTTTGTATAAAAAATGTTCACAATCAAACGTATTTACCAAAACAATTATTAACTATGGAGATGATAAGTCAAATGGAGTTGTTTATAAAGCATTCAGTTATTCTAAAAATTCTGAATTCTGGAAATTCCAATGTTTCTCAGATGTGATATCAAATGCTGATAAAGGGTTATTACTTGATTGTTGCCTTTCTGAATAACTTCCTAAATTCTGAACAGGGCAACATGGACAGAATTTGTATGAAAAGAATAATTTTTAATACTGTTTGATAAAGGAACCAATGATGTGGCTTTGGCATCGGAATATAGAAATTATATAGAAGACAAGCGAAGTATGATCAACTCAAAACAGTTCCACTGTTACGATCTTCGTTCGGGTTTGAAGGCCTCGTGGTTTGGAACAGTACCTAACGTTTCGCCAGCACGAGTGGCTAGCTTTTTCAAAGGTTTATTCATCTTGATGGTTCACTGATGACTCGTGATTTCTAGTTCGTGAGCTGTATTTATGTTGACTCAGGGAGCCCGCCTTTCTAGTTGGTACGTTGTTATTGGCCGAAGTGTTATTACCTGTTGCATTGCGTTGCACTGCTGCCACCTTAGCACCTTTTAGTATGGGATTCCAAATCCAGTTAGGCGTTATCGCCTCCTCTTTTCTATTGTAGTTTTATGTATGTTTATAGATTTCAATGGCTTCCCGTACAAGCCGACTATGGTATCCATGATCGAGTGCAAATAATTTCTCATTTTCAAACAGTATCGTATGATCTCCTTCACTAAACGCGTGTTTCGCTACTGCCGATTTTTCTATTTGACCTAATCTACAGTTTCTCCGATGTTAATTCAACCTTGGACCCATGGATCTTTTGGTGGTACCGATATACAGTATACCCCCGCAGATGATAGTGGATATATTTTGTCCTTCGCAGATATCAGACTTTGCTGTATTTCCTGGTGGGCTTCAACACTGTTTTTATATTATGCTTCCTTAGGAATTTTCCGATTCTGTAACCCTAAGGATATACGGTAGAAACGCACGTGCAACCATTTGAATTTCCTCCCTATTTTGACTTGTAGAAGTCTTCAGTTTCATGGCCTTGTTGATCTCGGTTACACTGTATCCATTCAATCTTAAAGCCACTTCAAAATGTTCCAATTCTTCTTGTAGGTGTTCCGGTTCACACATTTTACGTGCACGTTCCGTCAGACTGTTGATAATTCCCTGCTTTTGACTTAGATGATGATACGAAAGTGCATGCAGATATATGTCCGTGTGTGTCGATTTTCGGTACACTTTATGTGTCAGTCAGTCTTCGACGAGTACATCTAGAAAAGCTATTCGTTGTTCCTGTTCAGTCTCCATGGTGAACTTGATGCTGGAGTGTTGAGCATTTATGTGGTCCAGAAAAAGGTTCAGTAGATCCCTCCCATGTCTCCAGATAACAAAGGTGTCATCCACGTATCGTAGCCAAGTGGTTGGTTTGAAATCGAAAGCGTCGATTGCTCCATGAAGAAGTTGGCCATCACTGGGCTGAGTGGACTTACCATCGCTACGCCGTCTAACTGCTCATAGAATTGCTCATAGCAAATAATTCGAGTCCAAATAAAAAATACTTGGGTATAGATATCTAGCCTGAATTTGAGAATTCTTCCATTGAATGGACAGAAATATCCACTGGAAGAGTTTTGAGTCTACTTTTCTATTCATAAATAGAATTTTCTTTCAAAAAATCAAAGTTTCCACAAAAAGTATGATGCCTTTCTTAAATAACACTTCTGTAGAATTTTCGGCGATTCATCAATAGAACTCGAAATGATAACAAGTTCCTTCTTGAACATTTTCAACCTCATCAGTGTTTTTTGGATAAGGGCATAGTCATGTGTTAAATTGTAATTCCACAACAGAAATATTCCGTGTTCAATGTCGTGAATTAGTAATATAAAATAAAATTATAAAAACTCTAACGCTTTTGGTTTCATAGTAGCGCATACTTGATCCTAGTATTAGCATAAACTCCATATTGTAGGACTCAAAGCATATCATCAACATCGTGTATTTAGGTTGGGCCAATATAGGTTTCTGCGACAAAAACATCCTCAAAAATACTGGAAAACAAACCTTTGCAATAAATATCCTTGTCAGGACCTTCAGTTACATTAACGGAGTCCAGGTTCTTGGAACAATCACCACATTTGAAGCAGGACTTGTGGAAGGCCTTGAATGAAAAACACACATCAATGTTAAAGGGACGGATACAAAATTTGTTATAAGGAATAAACAGATTCACGGAAACCCTCATGCCAAAAATTCAATAGTGGGCTTGTACCTCTGCAATATACCATTCCATCTGGTCCATCAGAATGAGAAGTGGAATCCAACCATCGATCGCAGTTGTTGCACCGGAAACATATTTTGTGCCAACCCTGGATAGGTCATTGTCAAAATACAATATAACAACTATAAACTGGATATTCAAACGATAGCATGAAAAAAATCGTAATATAAAAATTTCATGCTACGCGTGTTCATATTTATGTTTCTGTTCAGTTCAAACAAAAATACTGGTGACACATTGATCATTGAACATATTAAATTCATGAACACAATTATATTCTGTTTTCAATTAGTATTTTTATTATGTTTTGTATTGAGATTTTAGGAATGTGGAATTTTTTTTTGTAGTGTATGCCACATGACAGTATTTTGCATAAGAAGTAAGTTAACTTTCTAGTCTTGCACAGTTACTTATTTCATGAAGATATAATGAAGAAAAGAGAAATTGAACTTTCTATGTTTTTACCACTTTTATTTGTAACTAACGTTACTGCAGTTTCGTCCTATAGGGACATTTTCAAACTTATACAATAATATACAATACACAATAACATACAATATGCAATAATTATTCAATAAGGTTTATTGTATAAGTTTGAAAATGTCCGTATAGAACGAAACTGCAGTAACGTTAGTACAAATAAAAGTGGTAAAAACATAGAAAGTTTCATTTCTCTTTCCTTCATTATGATTTCCTACCAGGTAGTAACGGCTACATCCATCAATTCATGAAGATATATCTTTCAGTATACCTACTTCTAAAATTTCATAACCGTAAAGGCAAATGTCACAGTCAACTTAAATATCTCCGTAGTGAGGCTCATAAAATAAGGTCAAGGGCATACAAATTAGTTGTGGGGTTTATGAATTAGGAATTCATTCCTAAATTTTATGGCTGTCACGAAGGTAGACATTATTTTGATTGACATTATCAGTTATCATGGCCAGTATTGACTGATTCCAATATAAAGTCGAATATAAGAGATGATAATATTTATGATATCAGTGGAAAGACAACTGAATTAATCTTTATTTTCCCCGCTGATGATAATCATCATTTTTTTTTTTCAATAAATAATACTATTTCATCAAACATCCTTCATTACTATGGGTCAGAAAGTAGTCTCACATCAAGTTCATATATGATCCCTGAATTATCAGGGGTCATATACCTATGGTATGCGACTTGATCAGAAAATAAATCAATATCAAAATATTTATACACGAGTATACTCATTGCATTGCACTTAGATGAAATAGGGTTGTATGAATGATACCTTTTGAAGACAATGCAACAAAAGGACAGAGACAGCTCGTCTTTTCTCATCCAAATATGAGACACCAGACCAGAGAAGGCAATTTATGGACAAACAAAATTAAGTTCAGGAGAATATTACAAATTATTACAGGGAAATATATTTTTGGGATTCGTTTCATGAGAGAGTGGGGAAAATTAAATAAATCCCTGAGGCTACAGTATTTTTCGAACAACTTTTAGACTGAAAAAATTATAAATTGACAATTTATTTAAACATACAGGATCTTTCCTAAGTACCGTTCGAAACTTCAGAGGATGATTCGTTAGGTCGTTTTAAGAAAAAAACGTTCTTATGAACATATGTCCGGAGTTAATTCGTTTGTAAGATACAGGGCAAAAAATATCATATCTACTCTTACATCGATTTGGGTGGAATTTGCTACAGTTATTCGAGGTAATAAGGTGCTTATTTAGCCCGATTTAGATTGAAATTATTAGATCCAGTGGAGTCTCAGCGGGCATTACAGTCAACAATATTGTGAAAAAAGTACGCCACCGACTTGTTGCGGTATTTTATTTTTTTAAATTATTCAACTGAAAATACAACTTTTTCGTTTTCGAGCTTCGTTGCTTTTCACGCAGAATCTATCAGGACAGATAATTTCATATGCTAAAACATTCAGAACGCTACATGCATGATTATGTGAAACTGGGAGTCTTAATAAAAAATGCAGGTGGTGGAAGACCAGAAACTGTAACAACGCCTAAACAAAAGATCCTTCAAATAGTACCAGGAAGATTGCACTGCAGCTCTGCAAAAACCGTTTGAACAGTTCTAAAAAGGAACCTCCCATACCCATACGTTATTTGAGAAAGTCATTTTCAGCAAAAATTTTCTTTGTTGAAAGTTTGGGAGGGAATGATTGGTGACTACCCAATTGGTCCATTTTCATATCAGCATAATGACAGGTGTATCCTACACGGACTTTTTGCAAGATCATTCATGTATTTTGTTGGGAGAAGTGCCGGTACTTTTAAGAGGCAACATGTGACTCCAGCTCAATTTAGAGTTCTTGCTAGCCGATATCACCTACCCTAATAGCTGGATTGGACGTGCAGGACCTCAAAATTGTCCAGTTTGCAGTCCTGAGTTGAATCCTCTACATTTCTATTCATAGGGTTATCTGAAAGCTCTTGTTTATAAAACTCCTGTACTAGATGTGAATGAGTGAACCTAATAATTTCAATCTAATTTGGGGTGAATAAGCGCCTTATTACTTCAAATAACTGTATCAAATTTCAACAAGATCGCTTCACGGATATTTATGATATTTCATTAAAGCCGTTTGTTTCTTTAAACTTCAACGTCTGGTATCTCAGAAACGAAGCAACTCCGGACATAGAAACTTTTTTTCTTAAAACAGGGAACACCCTGTATACTCATCTATTGAAATACAAGGATTTGCAGAGTTGAATGGTGGTTAAATGCCAGGAAAAATGAAGGAGATATTCAACAATAGTGTGCATAAATTGTATAAAATCCAAATTCCCAATCGCTGCCAAAACATTAATCGTTTGAGGGTATTGTGTGTAATCTTCTCTCATCCAGTGAGGATTTTCTGTTGACCAGTAGCGGCAATTTTGCCGATTAGCATGACCGTTAAGAGACAAAGTACACTCATCAGAAAACATAACGTCTTCTAATTGGATGATATTGTTATCCAACATGTTCATCATTTGCTCACAAAAATAAGTTCTTCTATCAAAATCGTCTTCCATAAGCTCCTGAGTAGGTATCATTTTATAGGGATGCATTTTATTTTATTTTAATATGTTCACTATCGATATATGGCTAACATTGAATGTAGTGGATGCCTGTCTACCCGATGTAAGTGGGTATTCCTCAAACTCAAAAGCATCACATCTAATTTGAGTGCAACATTCATTGCATTGGCAGCTGATTTTTTGACCTAGCTCGCGAAACTGCTTCTATATTTTGCTCATTGTTCCTTGGGATATGGACGGTAAATAAAAAAATTTCTTATGAAATAGGCGAGCTACTTCCTGTTGTGTTAGGGTTTCTTCTCCAAAACTAATCATTTGTAAAACTGTAATTTTATGTATTTCCACTAATATAACCATTCGTCAGACTCGAAGTTAACGAACTTTGAACTCAAATTAAAATACTGATAACTAATGTTGCAACATACAAAACAACTTGACAAGGCGTTTTAAAAACTAACGTTGCCACAGAAATTATTTACAGTTTTTCAAAGGATACCATCTGAAAAGAACATGGCTATGGTTTTTGCTCACTTTCTTATTACCAATACCACAACATGAAATTTTTGAGTATATTGCAATAAGTTTTTAGTATATTTAGTCGAATTTCGGTAAACACATGATCTTAATTTATTTTATCTCAATTGTTGCAACACACTTGAAAGCGATAACGATACAGAATGAAAAGAACTTTCAAACGGTATATCACAAGCCTATATTTCCTATTTGAAAAATTGGGGGTTTTACCTGTCATTCAACGGGGGTTGAAGGTAGGGGTAGCATTTTTCCGTTGAAGTATGTCAAATTATAATTTAAATTTGACATGTTTCGGGATTTTGTTAAAATATTTACCGTAATCGAAATAATGAATTTGTTCCATTTGACTTTTACACACTGTATAATTATAAAGTTTTAAAATGTTATGAATAGTTCTTGTACGAAAGTTTTTCGGTTTTCAAAACTGAAATAATTTTTTAACTCATAAGTATTCTGCGAAATATCCAAAAAACACTATAGAATTGCTCTGGTTTTTTTTTAAATTTGCACATAATTTTTATATGTTATGAAGTACACTTGACCAATATGTCATCAAATTTTCAGATGAAACCTATCCCATTACGAAGTCGATATATTTGTCACATTCACTGAAATCTCACTATTTCATTTGAGGAATAAAATTGAAAAACTCAAAATATGACCCACTTCACTACAATTGCAAAATAAAAGCACTTAATTCTCAGAAATGACTGACTTTTTTGTCTTAATCTGTTTCTTGCAGTGGCGTACGGAAATTATTCGAAACAGACGAGGAAAATGATGATAACATATATAAAATCACAACCTTGACAACAATGTTTTCGTTTTAATGCAATAATATTTCTGGGAATTTAGTGCCTACTATTATGGGATTGTACTATACACAATTTAAAATAAAAATACTCACTCTGCCACGTGCGAGCATTTGTTCAGCAGCGTAGACATAGCCGCCACATTTGGGGCAACCTTCTCCTTCAGGGGCCTTTGCAATGGCTTTAGCCAGAAGTGGGGCTCTGGACACAACTATGTCATCCCTACAATGAGGTTATTTGTGAAATTGCAGCCAACAAATGTGCCGAAGTGCAATATAATACAAGAATTAGAAAGCAGTGTGAACGAATAAGAACCAGCGTGAATAGAAATACTGCAACGTGCTGTAAAAGCTGTGTTTTGCTGAAATCTAATAAAGTGATAATAAGTAAAATGTAACAGGAGAAGGTGATTTTAGTCCCGAAAACTCCTACATTCTACACTGAAAAAAATAATTTTTACTTTGAGGGAACTCTCCTTATCCCACTACAATAGGTTAGGGATGAACGATACTACTTTGTTAATGTGCGGTTTAGCTGACAGTAGCCATGCTGAAAATTTTCAAAACAATTCTCACCGTCTGGGTTTTTCACAACTTTCCAACACTATCGACACAATTTAGATCACATACAACACCTTTAGGACACTTAAGGATGGGAAAGGATATTAAAGATATTCAAAAAACGGGATTTCATAATTCAGCATAGAAAGCAACTTTTCAACACAGCCATCGTTTTTTGAATATTGCTTTGGAAACACATACTAACTTCTCCAAGTGTGTTTTATTCATTCAATTATAACAAAATAATCGAAGTGTATACTTAATTTATATATATGAAAATTTATAAATAATAAGTTCTAAATTCTAAAAACTTTACATTAGTGTAGTGGGATGATGGAAAAGAGGGTTGTTTGAACAGACGACTGCTTGACAGTTGGTTTGGGCCGCCTTCTTGGTGATTCCATTTTAGTTGCTAGGGGGAAAAAGGAACTATCAGCTCCAAGTATTGTATCATTGGCATTAGCTCATGAAGTGAGCTTGAAACTTTTGGTTAGCAAAAAGCAAAGTTAGTTCTTGGACAAATGCTTCTATAATTCGAATTCACTTTAGAGAAATGTTGAAGGTTTTCTAAGAAATACTTCGTGGATCAGAGAAACATTTGAACAAGAACAACAAGAGATAAGGAAAGCCCTCAATCTGACAGAAAATAAGGAATATAAATAGCTGACGACAAGTATCTACTCATACTGAGGAGACAAATTTAATCATCATTGAAAATGAAATTATAACTACACAAAAACTATTGCACTGGGTTTGTTCTGCTAGTATTGCGTTTTCGAAATGTATTGGACATAGGCTCTTCTCTATAATCAGCATTGTTTAACTCGAACAACTTTCTACGTAAGCATGTAAGCATGTAAGAAATTCCAATTGATATAAAATGATACTTCAGCAAACATATTAGTTTTGAGAGATAGTTTTTGAAATGAAAGTATTCATGAAATAGTATATTCGTCTTATAGGTATTGATTTACATTTTTGACTCTTAGAACTTTATGAGTATCAATAAACATGTATTGAAGAAGAAAGGCTGAGAATAGTATGCGTAAAAAGATGGAGAAGTAGATAACCAAAACCTTTCTTTTCAAAAAAATTACGTTTCAGTTTATTCAGTTGCTGGAATGAATGTTTTTTTCGTATTATGTTGATTGTTTTAAACAAAAGTGTAGGAAAAACTGAATTAGACACACTCGACTCAGTTCTATTTTGATGTTTCTATTAGATTTTCATCAATCTCTATATATTTTCCAAAAATGTGTTGAAAAGTACGTTATTGTGAAACTTTTATTCAAATAGTTAATCAAATAGCCTTAAAAGACCAATTTTACGGTGAATCAATTTAAAAAAAAATCTAAAATGTTGATAAAGATGAAACTCACTTTTCAGGACTCTTCATATATTTTCCCCGTCTAAATTTTCACAACAAATCACTGTATTTAATTGCATAAAATTTCGAGTGTATGCCTCCTACTGGTGCAGGGTCGAATGGACCCACTCACTTTGAACCTAACCTAACCCCTACTAGTTGGATTTTTTTTCAATATATGAGTGATCATGTGTGTGATGTGTTTTTTGTAGAATGTGAACTTACCCTTGGAGATGAGCTCCGGTATCCATACTGAGACATCCAGCACCACCACCGAATCCGTACCCTTTAGGTCCGTATTTGCGGGCGTGGCAGTTTTTGCAGTAGAGTTCAGCTTCGTGTTCTGTTACGTTGGTGGAGTCCAACATTTTTCCACAAAGTCCTGGAGAGATTGAAAAGAGATAAAATGAATACCCAACACTGCTTGTGCAAATAACGGAACAGAGAGAAGTAATGAGCGTTACACAAGCAACTTATCTTCAAAACTCTCTAACATAGTACAGGAATTTTGGTGGGAAGACTTCAGATGACTTTAAGAATGGATTCGTGTCAACCATTTCAGGGAGAGATGAAGTCAAGTACTTTTACTCATTCGTCCATGTTATGAATATTTGTGATGCACTGTTTGGAACCTTTGGTGTAGTAATGAATATTACTGGAGTTTTTTCCAACACCAAACCGTTATTTCAACACCTCGACACTTGTTTAGATCACCAAGTGATCATCTTCAAGAGAAAAACTAAACTGTTTAATCTTCCTCTTGAAGATAAAATCACTTGGTGATTGAAACACGTGTCAAAGTGTTAAAATAACGGTTTGATGTTAGTAAAAACCTCCAGTAATATTCATATTGAGAATAGTTTGGGAGGCTACGACACTTTAATTTTCTTTTGAAAAATATAAGTCATTTGACAAAGAACTGCAATTGATAGTAACGTGAAACATTCTGAATTTGTATTGGTTGAAGTTATTGGGTATGATAATGTTTCTTGTTTCACATCATTCAGGAAAATTAAAAATTGTTGATGGTATTATATGAAAAACTGTCATAAATTGATTCAGGTGAGATTATATCTTGTCAAATTCTGCCAATCTGCTAGGTTGGTATTGAGCTTTTCCTACAAAAGTATACTAGATTCATCTAGATTCAGTCTAGTACATTTGTGTAGAAATAACTTCAAATTAGCACCAAAAAAAATCAATATATGTTCAAAAACCTATAGCTTGGTTTCTTTCAGAATCAAATGTTGTTGATAGGAATATATTTCGCAAATATATAAAGCCAAAGAACTTCTTCTCAAATACTATAAAAAATGTTTTTAGCCTTTTGGACCTAGTTCATAGATTCTAGAGAGGTAAAAGGTAGCTATAGAAGTCTACCATACCAAAATTGATTTGAAATAAATGAAAACCTTTGCTGTTTTAAGTTTTTTGCGATTACTTTCGTCGTATTTCGTTAAAGTATTTACTTTTTCCTCAACTCATAAAAAAATATCTACTTGCATCACATAAAACGTCATCTTTAAATATTTTTCCTCAAATCTCAGCACTTTTTATCAAATCTCAGCACTTTTTCTCAAGTATACATAACCCTTTCGGTATCATACATGATATATTAGCAAATTCTGGATATTTTTTTGGGTTTTCAGGTGGTATGAAAGAGCAGAAGATGGATGAACAATTGATTGAGGTTTAAAATAAATTTAATAGTGAAGTTTCGAAAATTCCGTCGTACTCCATTAATTTCAATGAATTTGTAGACTTTAAAACATTAATAATTATTATATTTTTTGTTTGAAATGGAATTGATCATAATATATCATGTTATCAATAAAAAGCTACGACACATTCCTTCCCCCACTTCGCACATCTGTCTGAAAATAGATTTATTCAGATTTTCTGATGGAATGTACTCTGTTGTATCATGAATCCTCATTTTAATTTACTTTAAAAATAGTTTCACCTCTGCCTTTCAGATGTTTCTTAGAATAAAGTGTGCGTGTAAGTTCATTCTTCAGCTCTTAAAGTGGATTTCAATGAATATTTATTTACTTTGAATATTTTCAGCTCAATTCACTGAAATTATCAAACTGTTAGAATTGAATTATTTTCAAAAATATTATTGAGATATTGTAATACAAAAGGGTGTATATTTCATTCATATTCAGAATATAATCTCTATGCTCAACATCTATCTGTAATAATTTTTGAACGAGCTAGGGTTTTTTAATTCATTACTTTGATCGCAAAATTTATCAAAAGCTAGTAATAAAAGTATAGTAATCGAATTACGCGCCTGAACGGGATTGTGTTAGATATATTTTGCATAGAATAAATTGAGAAACACATAGTCATTTTTCAATAGAAAAACAATTTATTCTAGATGGTATATTTCACCAGAATATTCAATATGTTTGAAATTAATTTTGTATTTCATTACAGAAGTAGGTGGTATTCCGATAATATAATTTTATGTGAGTAAACTCATCGATCTTCAGGTGATTTGCTTTATCTTCCATTTCGTAATTCCCAGTCGAATATAGTGTTGAGAAAAACAAAAAAGTAAAATATAGGTATGTCTTCAATGAAACTTTCATCCGGAAAAAATTGAAAAATGGATCAATAATAGAATTACCTTGAGAATTGATTTCAACTTGAATGAATGAAGGAAAGATTTGTACCAATCCCGATTTATCATTCCGAATACTTTAATCAGACTGTCCAAAATCTATATATACACACTCGTATACACACATTTTGATAGTTATCATATTGAGTATGGATTTCATCAGACTTTCATATGAAAAAGGCAGACTGAAATTATCGATATTCATTTAATATTTCGGTATTTTCATTGATAGTTTTTAAATTACTACACCCGTTTTGATTCCTTTTCTGTTTGAGAGTTGAAAATTTGAGTAATGACATTTTATTATTTCGAACTTCAAAGTGTGATTATTCAAAAAGAAAATAGTTGCCGAACCGCTCAGAGCATTGATATCCAATAATTATTCATTAAATTGATGAAGAAAAATTTCATTTTTGTTATTTTTTTTCAATAATAACCCGAAAGATCTTCCTCATATCCTTATTACGAATGAATTAGGAAAGTAATATCAACTCCGACCATTTTCAACTCAACAAGTACAGTTTATTTAATACTGCTTTCATGAAAAACAACTGAGTAATGAGAACTTGCAGTGCACCAGTATCACTGGTTTCAACATTATCAAAACTCGAGAATAGTTTCTGTTCATTATCAATATTTTCTTACCGCATTTGAAGCATGATTTGTGGAATTTGTATCCTCCAGCTACACGTTCTTCAGCAGCATAGACGGATTTGCTGCATTTGGGGCATTTTGGGTTCTCAACGGGTTTGAAAGGCATTTTGTTCTATATGCAGTCGATCTGAAAAGACATTTTTTCCAATTAAGTCCCAATTATTATTATATTAGGCTGCAAGGGATAAGCTGAAGCTCATGATGAAAAAAAAATGGATTGAGATTTGTAGAAACTGAAAATTCACACAAAATTTTCGATTAAATCAGTATCTCTTTTTCTAAATCTCAGGAATAGCTTTGAGTAGAAAATTGAATTTTGACCCTTTACTTCGAAATGATTCACGTTTTTACAAATTTACTACGTCCACAAATCCAATCGTTGCGATTGCCAAAGAATGCAAATAAATTCCATCGAACTTCAGTCCACAATGAAAAGCAAAAATCGAATCATGTTATTCCAAACATCCAAAAATATGCGTTACTAAGCATCTCTCTACTGGGTCACTTGGCCCAGCGCCAGTGGCGTAACATTACACAAACACACCGAGTTAAAAATAGAAATAATAGTTTCCATTGGCCGTGAGCCAGCTCAGCTCTAGTAGCTGATACCAAATATGGCAACATGCAGGTGAATGCACAGCATTAACTTTCAAGCTTCACTTCAAAATAAACACTTCCACTAATACAAAAAAGCCGGCTTGAAATATGTAACTGTTATCACTCGCGGCAAAGGGCTCAAAAGGCACGTACCTTATGGGAATCGTGTATGTATGGTGGATAAGGCCCTTTGTGTCCTCACTACAACCACTAATTCGAGTGTCTGAAACCTCCGGAGTTTGGGACTTAGTCTATAAAGCAGTTTGCACACGGCCCTAAGAAGTAGAGGGGTCGCAAACTCATAGTCCTGTGTGAATAAGCAATTCACTGTTCTATTTTCGAAGCGATGCATATAAGATGAAGTGGATGTAGTTTTTGGTTAAAATCCACACCTTTTTCAGAAATTCGATATCACCTTACCTGAGCGCGAGATTTTTTGGACGTGCTGAAAATTTTCAGTCTTCGAGAAGTATTTGCGAAATCACGCTGTTTTCTCGTTTGACCTGCTTTGTTTATTTGTTTATAGTGCAAAGATCAAGTGTGAACATCATTTGTCGCGTTGAGATATTTCAAGAAAGGGATTTCACTTTTGGAATGCCTGAAACAATTTCTTTAAAGAGATGAGAGATCAACGAAATAATGGAAAAAGCAAGGTTTATCTTCACGTATTTTTCAAATGTAATTCTAGATTTTTCTCACTGTTAGAGATACGTACGTTCACGTGAAAAATAAATATGCTAGTTCGAGTATTTTATTATACGCAAGTTATTTCGGGAACAGGGAATTTCTTCAATGAATTCCATGGTTTGATAAGATTGTGAAATTCTGTAGTTCGTACACTGTTTTCTTCTGAAGTGAATGTGATTGATTTTACTGACTCGAGAAGAAACGTATGAGAAATCCAACCTGCCGGCAAAAAAAACATTTTGTGAAAAAACAAAGTCACTATCACGATACACCACAGGAGATTTTACTTCAGACTTGTTTTTGTTTTTCAGATGTCTTTATTTCTGGAAATGTTGTATGGAAATGAAAAATAATAAACAACTGATAAACTAAGATAGAAGTTGTTTTGAAAACAATTACTTCCTTGGTCACTCAACTGAAAACTAGTAATTTAAATTTTTCCGTTGAACTTTGTGTGTTGTATGATAATAAATAAATAATGATGATAATAAATAAAGGAAACGATCGTTGAATGATGTTTGAGAAAGCAGTGGGAATGTGTGTGATTTGAATATACATCGTTTGCTTTGGAAAATATCTGATAAAACTGAAGATATGGTGATATTTCAAAATTTGAGTGTTTCAATACAGATTTTCAAAAAATATTCAAAAATTTTCGGAATGGATATGTTCACTGAGCTTAATTGGCATTTGTGTGGATAATTATGGAATTGGTATATACCCATCATTACAAAATACAACAAATTTCTGTTTGAAGTATCAAATTCGGTATAATTATTCCTCTCATAAATTCATAAATTATTCATTCTGCTTTTTCGTAGTAGTTTCATTGAAGAGAACTTATTATGTTCAGTAATAAAATAAAAACTTGAAAATTTGTGACAACTATTTGATAAAGTTACACAAACAGAAAATTATATAGCTGTTTTTAGGGACTATCAACCGTCTTGAGAAACCTCAATTCAAATATACAAAAACCTACAATTTGAAAAATCTTTTTATCAATTCAAACTTTTCCAATTTTTTTTGAGGGTATAACACCTTAAATTATTCAACAATTTGTTTTCTAGTATTCATTTTGAGATTACTTTGTTCACTCGACTTCTTAATAATAATAAGAATAATAATCGCCTTTATTTCTCACATAAATTGTACACTTCATATTTCTGGAGGAGAAAATGGCGGAGTTCATTTAATTTTGATACAAGACCTTCACTGAAATGTTTTTCCACTCAACCCCAAAAATGCGGCCCTAACTTTATCAACCTTATCGAAGTATTAGCATCATTACACATCTTTCCATGAATGAATTTCATGAAGAAAAAATAAAATCGAAAAAAAAATGTCTTGTATTTCAATTTGAATTTTGCGAACGATGAACATTGAAATTCCAGAGGTAAAGGGTTGTAGTTATATAAACGATCAGTTTGAAAGTCTTCATCTCTAAATATTCAACCATCCAGCAGTAATTAGCTCATTCGAAATTCTTTCATGTCTACCATTTACAGTTCTCAGGCAAGAGTTTTGACCTGTTTGCACTTTTGCTGTCACAAGAATCAAAACTCATTTTTTTTCAAACTATCAAAGATAATCCTGGAAAAGCTATTGATTGTGCGAACAGTTCTAGTATTTCATTACTTTGTGCAATGTTATATGATTTTCTTTTCTTCTCTTATTCATATAACAATTTTGTGAGAGTATGGCATCCTCATTAAAAATAAGATAAAAGATAAGTTTATTTTAATGAATTGATTGATGTAGGTAGGAGATCATCATATTATGAAATGTGAAATGGAACTTTCTATGTGTTTTACCACTTTTATTTATAACTATCATTTAGGCAGTTTCGTCCTATGTGGACATTTTCAAACTAATACAACAAGTTTTATTTCATTTTACTGATACAACACATCCAACGGAAATTTAGGAAACAGATTATATATCGACTAGAATGTGGTGAATGCCCCGCCATAAAGGCCAAACTGGTAGAAATTTTTATACAAGGTACCATGAACGTGTCATTTCGGATACAAAATCATTAATGTACGAACATCTTCAAAATTCGAAATATAAAATAGATAAAGATAATTTAAAGACTCTTCACACATGTGAAAAAGGGAAAATGATAAATCTATTGGAATAAACAAGTCAAAGAAAAATCCCAATTCTATTGTCCTCAACGAACAACTTGATCTAAATAATAGTCCTCTCCTAAATCTATAATCCAGTTCCCAAAACCTACATTATATCAAAAGCTTTGTTTTGTTATGTTCATGGATATTACAGGTATACAAAATGTAGGTACCAAATTATTTATAATAGGATAGGCAACTTAGGTATGTATATGGTGTAGTAATGAATATTACTGGAGTTTTTTCCCAACACCAATTCGTTATTTTTAACACCTCGACACTTGTTTCGATCATCAAGTGATCATTTTCAAAGAGGAAGATTAAAACTTAGGTATAAATCACTCAGATTTAAATGTAATCATTCAGTTTTGAAAATGGTGTAACTAGTCAACAATATCTTGCAAAATAGACAAAAGTGTGTTTTTGTACTGTATCCTCAGTGAACATGAATTTCCACAAAATAAACAAGTCGTCAATGAAAGAACTGATACAATTAATTTTATTGTATAAGTTTGGAAATGTCTATATGGAACGAAACTGCAATAACGATAGTTACAAATGAAAGTGAAAAAAACATAGAAAGTCTCATTTTTCATTTTTCAAGAGTTTATTTCTTGACTTTTTCATTTAGATGATGAGCACCACAGGAAAATCTTTGGAAACTTCAAAAGTGGTGCCTGTGTTGAACTAGCGATTCATATAAGCTCAAAATCGTTGTTGATTTTATTTAGAAGAGAAAAGTCTCACCTTCGATGTTCAAGATCTGTAGTGATGTTTAGGTTATCAGTGAAGAGGATAATTTTATTCTGGATAGAATCTAACAACGTCAGGAATATGCATGAAAGTGGAGGTTCATATATGCGGACAATTTTACAAAGAATATACAAGAAAATGGAAATATTGAATCGAAATTTAGAATCATTAATTTATATCAACGTTCCTACACAGTAGGATGTGGTAAATGCCAACTACTTTCTTGGTTAAACCTTTTCTTGCAAGAAATTTCATCGAATATCATCAATGATGATCCAAGATGATTTATGCAAGATAAATAACTGGTGTCAAGCTACATCTAAACATAAGAGAACTCTAGATGAATGACGGAATTCAAGGACCTGATAATACAAGTTAATGGATACGTAAGAATAAAATTGACGTTCTCCTCTTCAGTGTAGATGAAAGTTCAAAATTTGAATATGTAAGTGCCACTTAGAATTCTGGATACAATGTTCACGGTTTTTGAAGTATTTCAGTTTCAAATGTGATGGAGTTTATCCCAACCGTGTCATACCATGTGTGCAAATACTGTCTTGATTTCAGGTGGAGTTCCAGGATGAATGTCAAACTCATTTCGATTATTTTATATACAATTCTAGGCTCTCATTTATCCACATTTGCCGCCATATATGAACCTGTGGAAAAACCACGACTTCACATTAAAATACTAACGAGAATACATGAATGTTCAAGATGTAGATATTTTTTTCATGGTAAACTCGCTAGCATAAGAAGAGCTGATCTTTATTCTTGACATCCTATTCTTACACAGTGTGATGTTATGTATGTATTTTTTTATTCATACACAAACTCACGCTATGATTTATACGCGATGATTCCATAAACCCTCTCTCAATGGGTTGCAAATATTTTTTGGATGACTAACGTCTCTCAAGGTACAATTCCCCATACAATGCTAGAGATCCAGTTGCATTTCTTGCGTATATAAAAAGCAAATTTTTAGAAAAATTCCGGGTCTCCCCTCACAAATTCACACTAATCGAATAATAATTTATTTAATTGACAGTAAATTTGACTTTTGTACATATTATGTTAATTTATGTCGCACGTTAAACAAATCAATCCATATCAGGTCTCTCATAAAAGTTTTCCTCACCATTTTCATTTACCAGAAAAACAAGAATCCAAAATTTTGTGTTGATGACGACGCAATCATGTAGCTGGAATTGCAGAAGTTGATTCTCAAAAGCTTAGAACTTTGTTCCGAACCAGAAAAATGTACAGACCTCAGCAACTTTTTATGCAACATAAAGCTCAGATCAGATCTTCTTTGAAGTGGTGTTCTCAGGTATGAACCTCCGCCCCTAAGCATACCCTGAAACTGCTGGATTGGAGACGTACTTGCAACCTTGATAGTCTGGAACATCGAAAAAAGATTGGAGATTTGTCTCTTTTCTATAGATACTTTCACGGAAAGTGTTCAAGTGACACTTTTGATTCATCCAAGAGCGGTACATATCAGAAATACGCAATGGAATATGGCTGCTCATCGTTATGATGTTCAACTCAGTACACCTCGAACTTCAGTGTTCAACAGTTTTCTTATTTGGTGAATTGAGTTTGTGTGAAATAAACTTCCTGAGAACGTTTTTCCAAATGGATTTAATCTCCAGCGATTCAAATCCAATGTGAATCACTACTTTCG